GGATGTAAATCCGTCGCTGCTGTGGCGGTGCCATAACAGGCACAACCTGAGGCGGAACCTCAACCCGGTCTTCACTGACCAGCAGGTCCTCCACTCCTTGAGCAGGAGTTCCCGGGGCCCTCTGCCCCGGCGTTCCCGGCGCTCGCACTGAGACCTCCCACGGGTAGCCTTTAAGGCTTTCCCATCCTTGTGGATTCCATTGATCTTCTTCTGGAAGTCGACGAACACCAGTGCCTCTCTTCACTCCTTCTGAGGTCACAACCAGCAAAGTGCCAGTCCTTCCGTGGTGACCTATGTACCTGCCTTCCTTGAGTGGCCTAGCTCCTTCTCCTACCTCACGGTAATACAACCGCTCTCCTATGGCGATTGCCGGCTTTCTCCATTCTCGGCCACACCTCCTTTGTTCCGGTGTCTTCCCGTCGGAACCTCTCTTGTACCTGCACATCAGGTCTGCTGCATGCCTTGGAAACCAAGACAGCACAGGGTCGTCATCCTTCAAGACTCGACCCAACTTCTCCTCCAGTGAGGATCGCAGGACTCTCACCTGCCTTTTGAGTTCTCGGCACAAGTTCTCGATTGCGCCATTCGCCCGGTGGTCAGCCACCGGCGACTCCTGTGGAACATTCTCCACTCCTGCTTCCTTGGCCGCCTGCTCCTTCAGGGCAACGATCGAATGCTCACCATCACTCTTGAAGACTGCACGACGGTAACCAAGATGCTTTATAAAGTTCGCCATGAATTTGACCGCATATGGCGTCGGTCCTTTTGCGTCCACGAAGGTGGCCGCAACGGCCAGTGTCCGACTGTCTCGGATCACCAGGATAGGCTTAGTCTTCCCATCCTCCTTTCCATCTCGCGTCATCCATGTGTAGTCGCACGAGATTGTCGCGAGCTCATCGCTCGCCTTGTCCTCTTCGGGTCGTGAGCGATGCTGCTGACCCAATCCTCTGCCGGCAAGACAATGCCGACACCAGTTGCGATACTGCACGTGACCTGTTGCCTCATGCTCCGCAACCTCGGCCCTCGATGGGCCTCCTGGTGCTCTCACCAGTGCGGGCGGCGCGATCTCGCCGCTCTCATCCATCTCATCACCCTCGGGCACACCTGCGGGTCGGCCCGCTGGTGCCTCTGGGTTCCCTTGTCCGGCACCCACGGCATCATCTGCCGCTGCAAGTGGTTTGGCCGGACTTACGCCTCGCTGGACTGCCGTCCAAAACCCGAACAATCTTCCGACTTCAAATAGAAGTTGTAAACTCCTTTCTCTTGGTATATGGGCAACCAAGTCTTCTTTTGGGCTTTACTGGGCTTGTTGAGCAACTGCTGAATTTTCCTTCCTGTCGCTGAGTCTGCTGGAATCAACTGTCCACCATTTTGATCAAGAACAGCCATCCTTCCATGGTTGAGGCATTTGTAAGCTGAAACCAACGGTTTGTGTACCGGTGCTAATGGCCCTGTGACTTTACACCTGGAACCTGTTTCACTCTTACCTTGAAACGTCCCGGTTCCGGTCCCAGGGACCAGTTCCCCCGATGCTGTCTTGAACATCATCTGGGCTCCTTCCTTAGTGGGGATGCGGTCTTTCCAATCCACTGGAATAGCAGTTTGAGCAGCCCCCGTATCAAGGTTGAACCGAACCCAGTTTGGGTCTTTCGGGGACTCTCCCTGGGTGAATGCACCCAGCTCAAACATTCCCACTTCGGCCTCCGGTTGTTCTTCTTGGTCTCCAGCTTCGTAGTCGGCGTCCTCGAATCCTGCCACATGCTTCTGCTTGGAGCCAGACTTCCCTGAGCCTTTGGAACCTTTTCCATCCTTCTTCTTGCTCCAACACTCGGCCGCTCTATGGCCGGGCTTACCACAGTTGAAGCATGCTCCTGCGGGTCCTGAGCTGCCTGAACCACTGCCTTTACCTTTTCCTTTGCTGTCCTTACCTTTTCCTTTGCCTTTGCCTCCACCTTTGTCCTTTCCCTTACCTTTGCCTCCTTTCGAACCTTTCGAGCCTTTGACCAGCGAGTTGAGCACCTTCGTGATGGCGTCCACGTCCATCGGAGCGGGGCCTTGCCCCGATCTCGAAGCCCCACTGGACCCCGGTCGATGGATCGTCCCCTTGGCTCCCGTGACTGTTTCAATCAGAACCTCAATCTCCTGCTTCATTTCCTCGTAGGTTCCCAGCCGGTTCTTGTTCAGAATGAGGTGGCGCTCAATGTCGGTTGGAACCAGAAGTTCTAGGGACGTACACTTTATGTCCTGAGAGAGGATTTCCCTCTCGCCCCTTTCGTTCCTTCTGGCCTCATATCGGCGCATCAAATCATCTAGTTGTTCCATGGCCGGTCGAACTGCTTCCCAAGACTTAACTCTTTCGGGGTTGAGGATGGCCCTTAGGATGTTCCTCTTCCTACCTGCGGTGAGGGGGTCCCATCTCCTGTTAAGCCTTCGCCATGCCTCATACCCGTTCTTGGCATTGATGACCAGATCTTCGGACTCATGAGTAGTAAGGGATGACAACAACCTATACAGCTGGTCTCCCTTATCATCCAGTCCGGCCATTCCCAGTTCGCCTCCATGTTCCTCTTCTACCTTTTCAACAGTGATCTCCTCATCCTGATCAACTACCCATTCAAGGATTGACTGGAAACTGGATCCAAAGATTGCCGTTGTGAGGTTCACCACAGACCGGGCCCATCTACGGAAGTGGCCGTCATCATTGGAAAAGACTTCCGGTCTTCCAATCCCTTTGGTGTCTATCAACAACTTCCTATCTCCCCTCTGCAGGCTTGTAGCTAACCTACCAAGGTTCTCTGCCAAAGCAGCTATACCTGCCTGGCCTTGCCTAAGAAGTTGATTCTCCTGTGACAACCGCTCAACTGCCTGCTGCAACTCTCGCACTGTTTCCTCCATGCCTTATATCCGGTGCCAAGCACCGGGAGGTCAGTCCGCCTTCTCGGACTCTTCTGTACTATAGTACGACCCCGAGCTCGATCCGCTTTTCGGCTCCGGCGCCGGTTGATCGTGAAGGTGAACACTGCCCTCGGTCTCGCTCAGGGGTGTAGCCGGCGACGGAGTCGGTGGCGGAGGTGGCGGCCGCTTCGGCCGAGCCAGCGAAACCTTCGGCTCGCTCTTGGGCTTCTCGATGTGGGCCTTCTCCTTGAGCACCCACTTCGGTCTTGGCGATGGAGGTGGTACCTTCGCCTCTATAGCCGCTTTTGCAGGAGGTGGCTTCACCTGAGGCTTCGCGATAGCTTCCGGTACTGACTTTGAGGTCGTTCCTACCGGTGCGCGCCTCCTTGTCGCCCCTTTTGCAATTGCTGCGGCCCTGGCCAACAATGATGGCCTCTGAAGGCGAGTCCTCTCGTCGCACGAGGAACACGGGTTCCCTAACCCGTCCAGTTGCAGCACACTCTGCTGGATGGCTTTGGCCACCGAGCCCGTTGCTCCGGCTCGGTATGCAGCTTCTGCCGATGCCGCCTTCCTGAGGCGGTAGTTCGAGGCCAGGTTCTGCTCGCTCGTCCCTTCACCGCGGGATGTCCTTGCCACCGCAAGCTCTTGTATGTTCCTGTGCACCGTAACCCGTCGGCCGAGAGCTTTGGCTGCCTCGGCGACCGGTGCCAGCAGCTCGGGCTCAGCGCCCGGTGAAGGCTCCTTTCCTTGGGCCTTTGTGAATCCCTTCGGCGGTGTCTTCGGAGCAGGGCTGGACTTAGGCGGGGACTTCGGTGGTGTCTTGGGCTGCACCCGGCGCCTCTTCCAGGGCGCCTGCCCGAAGTTCTCGATCTCCTCCTGGAGCTCCGCGGATGGCTCTTCCTGCTTCTTCTGCGCGAGCTTCAGGAGGCCTTTGAGGATCCTAAAGTGCCGACTGTTTTGGCTTCTCCTCTTGTCTTTGCCAGTCGCACTCTGCCACCACCGAGATCCTGACGACCTAGGCGTGTGAGCGACCTTGGGCTCGGGCTCAGGCTGGATCCTGCCCCCGCTGCCCCAATCGCCCCACACGCTCTCGTCCTCGCTCTGGTCCTTCTGCTCCAGGTCGAAGTCCGCGGCCTCGGGCTCAAACTGCTTCTTCTGCGGCGGGTGGAGGTCCTCCTTCTTGTCCTCGTTGGTGTATTGTTCCAGCTCCTCCTCCTTCTCCTCTGCCCGGCTTCCTCGAGCCGGTTCTGGGCCCCTGTGGCCACTTGGCAGAGCCTCTGGCTCTGAGGAGGGAGGAGATGCAGCCTGGGATCCTCCCCAGTCTGCTTCTGACTCAGCGGCAGGCTCAGCGGACAGGGTGTCTTCTTCTCCTTCACTCGGAGGGGCAACTAGCTCCGGCCTCTCCTTCGGCAGCTCTTCCGCTGCCCCGGTCTCCTCGACCGGCTCTGCGGCTTTGCCTTTGCCGCGAGCGGGCCGCCTCCACGGCGGCTCCTCCTTGTTGCTCTTGCCCCTGCCCTTCTTGCCCTTGCTCTTGCCCTTCTTGCCCTTGTTCTTGCCCTTGGGCCCCTCGTACGGCTTTCCAAACCAAATGGACCGTCGAGGCTCACCCGCTACCATCAAAATGCAATATCTCGGCTCTGGGGTGCACTGCGGAGCGCACCCTTTTCTTGAGCCAAAACCACACGGAGTGCAATCAGCGCATTGGGCAATTATGACTATACATATCATGACACATGCGTTTCAACATTAACAAATTCACCATGAACAGTTTCCGAACTTCTGGCCGACAACGGGATAGTAGGACTCACTACACGCACAAGAAGCAAGAACAGCAGAATACAAACCATCACAAACAACAAATGCAAACATAAAACAGCCAGCAAGCCAGTAAGGCTAACAAACAAGCAAAATACATAATGCTAAGTACCAAACTACCAAACAAACCCTGGGCTGCCCTCAGATCCCCCGCTAAAGTTCAACTTTTAGTGGGTGAAATGGAAACTACCACTAAACACTAAAAGGCTAAAAGGCTAAAGGGGATGGCTGGGAGCCACCAAGAACCGGTCGACCCTGCTTCTCCCTTGCCCTCTCTCTCTCCGGGCGGCCAAAAAGGGCACCTTTGGCATCTGAGCAGGTGGGGCATTCGCCGCAGCTTCGCAGCGCCCGGCTGAGGAACCTGGTGCCGATGGCAATCACATGGCTGAAAGGTGGCATATGTTTTTTAGCACTGATCCAACATAAAAGAGTGTTATGCCATGTTAACCAACATGGTGGAGTGTGCCATGTTTCACCAATTCCAGATTCAGAGGCAGTAAGCCTAAGGAGTGATCCGTTTGGGTGAGTGATCTGCATGGAAAGGCATTCAAGCGTTCAGGGGCCTATGAACTCGAGTCTATTGAGCCATCACCCCAACACTGGCTTGCACGTGAACCAAAATGAGGCTGCCGCTGACTCTCCGTGCATGCACGCCACACTTATACATCGCCGTTTGATTCTGCGTCACAAATTGGACCTACCGTACGTAGCGGTGATATCAACACAGCAATATCACAGTGAAGCACAGGTATTGAAAGTGAGCTTGAAGCCTGCCAAACTGTTTGTCTGCTTGCTCTCTCAAAAACATTTGCCGGCTGCAGCTGCAATGAGTTTTGATGATTCTGAGAATGTTTACTGTCCACGTCCATGTGCAAACTGTGTCTTGCAAAGGGATGATCTGGATGTGCCTGAGGCTGCCTGCATGTAAAACAGGGCAGCCTTCCGGCGCCACAATCAAGCTGAATGTTCCGGGGCCGTGTTGGGCAGGGTGACGGCCGCGAATACCGCCGGCTGTGTCGAAAAGAGGAAGGATCCCCCCTTGCCTCAGGACTCACATAGCCTGTTGACTTGCATTGCCGTCGGTTCCTCCTGAAACCAATACACACACACACACCCTGTAAACAAAAAGGTGCAGGATGAGCCAAGACACGCATCTACATGGGCTCGCTGATGTATGCCTCAAATTGCACTGTGCAATGTGAGTGCTGAAGCCATCCTCTGGTGGATTTGCTTTGCTCATACAGTACCTCAATGTGAAATAGACTAGCCAGCTCAAACTACGTCGTGACAAATACAGGATACCAACAACACCGGCGCAATCTAGCAACTCAACAATGGTCACACCCCAACTATGGGGGAAGGTCACTAAAGCTAGCGGGTAGCCGCAGTCATATCTCTCCTTTGACATGAACAGCAGTTGAAAGTATTATGTTGGCATCTCAAATGGATTCCCTTTTCAAATTGAGAATTTGTGGCCCCCATTGAGTGAGGAAATCTTGGAAACAGAGTCAATGGCTGTTGACCAGACGCAAGAGTTGAAAATATGTTAAGCCGACAAGTGGCAACCACATTCCAGTTCAACAAATTCGGCTTAGATTTTGGTCGCCCAAAACCAACTGCAGTGAAGACGCTCAGCTTCCGAGGGAGCAAGCACCTTGGCATGGCTGTCGAACGGTTTGGATCCTTGCCCTGTTTGGCTATGCTGATAGGCACCATGGAACATGTCACGCATGGCACAGAGCTCCAGGTGAGTGCTTTTGGTCATGAAGACTTCTCTGCCAGAGCTTGATAACATTCGCAACCCCACACCCCCCACGCCCGAAACTGAGCTCTGCACCTTCATCAGCAACCAAAACCAACGGGGCTGGGGGGTTGGAGCTTGCACAACAACTGAAAACTCAAAAATGCAAAGGCAATGCCTCCATTTGAGCCGCCACCAATATCTTTACGTGTCAAACTGGAATATGTCTGAATCCTTTGTTTAAGAGACACCTTCGTTCTGAGAGGTTTTTTGGGTCATCTGAGGATCCTTCGTAACAAAAAACAAATTACACCATCGTTTTTTGGTTTTCTTTCCCCTATTCCCCTCCAACACATATTGCCTCTACGAACCTTTCTAGATGCTCATTTCGTGTGTCTTATCCTTTTGTTCGCTTTAAAGGCTGCGAAACCCACAATTTACCATCGAACTCCCATCTTCGGGGTACCCTCCCACCAATTAACATGAAACCTGACCGGGTCCCGAAGGTCCGGCTCCAGGTCTTCCATTTGCTTAAGCCCCTTGGAAAAAATCACAAAATATCCGGTAGTGATAGATTCCCTTTAACACCAAGGGAAGGTTCAAAATATGCATTTCAGCGACAAGATGTTCACTGGGACGCCTTTCTCGCTGGCCCGAGGCGCCCATCTCCCAGCAGCGCCATGACCTCGTGGGGGCAGCGCAGCAGCTTCTCCGGGCGCTGGGGGCTCTTGGCCCAGTCCTCCGGGAGCTTCGGACTCTGCCACGAAAACCCCTGGGATCCAAAGCCCAGCTGCAACAAGAAGGCGTCACGCCGACTGGTGGTTTAAACGCGGAGCTAGAAGTTGACTGAAATGGTCTTCTCAGGTTTTGAGTCCAGGTACTCAGAAAAAGATCATGCTTCATAAAGTAACAGTCCAGGACGATTGTCGGCATACTCCCTGAACACGTTCATGAATCCATAAGAAGCCTGACAACTGTCAGACAGCTGACTAGTGGAATGTGTCCCCATACCTGCAAACTCCGAGCCGCGCAACGTTGGGCCACTGTTGCCGCCCTCGGCTGGGTCTCCCCTTGAGCAACATATCTCAACATGTTGTCAGCACGGGCTTAGCATCCGGTTGCACTTGGAACGCGGCGTGCCTGCCGGTGCCCGGTGCTCCCCTTTAGCAGACTTTGTACCCAACCTGCCGCGTGAACTTGGGGTTGCTATATTTTGCAGCTTGATTCCTGCTGTTTCTATTGCGCTTCTTTCAACACAAATTGACACTTCCGCTGACTCAACAGAGTTCTCACCTTGCTAAACCTCAGACCTGTTGGAAGAACATGTCGTCATCTCCCTGGGGCGGCTCCGCCCTTCAAGGGCAACTGTGTTAATGCAAGCGACGAGCTTCGACCAATATATATATATATATATATGCATATGTATATATTCATATCTATATAAGCGGCGTGAATGGCAAGCAATTCTGCGCACCACGCGCCTTACCAGGTATTCTCACAACCGCACTTGGCATGATGGCAAGCATGGATGACTGCCTGAACAAGCATGGGCCTTGCCCTGAACCTCACGCATCTACCGTGATGTTTGAAGATGTGCTCCTTGTATCGCCGCAGCACGCGCACGGCCGCCTCTTTCGCCGTGATCGCGCCTGGAAGGACACATCTGGTCAGTAATTCATTAGGGCAATGGTCTTTGTTCATACCATTTCGGGCAGCTCCATGAATTCCTCTAGGGTGATCACTCAACGGTCTAATGCCTTCGATTAGCCAGGTTCTTGGGGGGCAGCGTCAACTTGCGAGCGAGCCCCACACTCCAACATGTGCCAGGTTTCAGAAATCGAGTTTGCCCCTGTCCAACGCGCAAGGGGAAGCAGCTACAAGTGGTAAGTCAAGTTGACTAAAAGCAATAATTGATCATTGTTCTAAATTATTGTGTGGGTGCAAGACACTAGCACCTTCCTTCGTGAGGCTTCTGCCGGGCACCTTGCTCGCGTGGTGTCGACACAGCAAACGCCTACGTGGGGCTTCTGCGCAGTGAGGAACTTCGTGGAAGCTAGTTTTCGCGTGTTTTCGCGCACGCGAACACGGCAAAACCACAGAAGTAGAGCTTTTCAATACCTGTTTTCGCTCACGCGAACGTTTCGCGGCCTTCCGCCACCTAGGAAGCAAACACATCTTCAAATCCAGCTTCCTCACGCCGCTGGGGCTGCATCGTTTGAGCGGAACCATCATCCTAGCAAAAAAGATCATGCAACCAGGAAATGAAGCCCGCCACCTATGTGCGCGGCAGCTGAACATCACCAGCCCCTTGCAACACGCAAACCACGGGCAGGTCGCTCCAAACGACGAAACGGCGCCTCGCCTGTTCTCTTGCCTGGCTGCGAAATCGCTTGCTCGGCAGCGGTGAGCACCTCCGAAGGTGCAATGTCGTGGGGCGTCTAACAGGGGGGGGTGTCTCACAAGGGATCTCCTTTTGGCTGGTGCTTCAATGGGAATCTAAGCACATTGCCTCAGCCGGTTGAATTGGTACTGAAGTCGTGGCCGCAAGCGAAGGAAACACGCCGAACAAACATCGAAGTATAGCCAAGCAAAGATGCAACCAGCGATTCACAAAGCAGGACAAGTGAAGGAGTGCCATGGAGGCATTGCTGATATGTCCATATCACGAGCCATGCCCAAATCTCAAACCTTTGTGCCAAAAACATAACCAAATCTAGCGGTCCTGAAAAGCTCCTAGACATGCCTGCGGAACTGTCCGCCAATCACTTCGTTGAGCAGGTTTTCCTAACAGAGAGAATCAAACACCAGTTGGATCCAAGTACCCTGGTCTCTGGACACCTTCTCTTGAATCATACTATCATATTTTCAGTGATCAATCTGATCGTCCAACTCGATATGAAGCACATGCATCTTGAGCCCAGCGGCAAAGTCGCGCAAAAAGGTCCGCATGCCGGCGGCGTTGCGCAAGTCGTGCTGACACAGGGGGCGGCGCTGTGAAACGAATCGTGTGCTTTCTCCAGTTGACTGCTTGGTTTCGAACTTCCAACACGAGACCTACAGGTAGAAAGTAGAACAGCCTCAGTACCTGCAGCTGCCAGGATTCAATTTGCACTATCCAGAACTTGAATGGGAGTTGGGCCTGTCGTCAAGTAAGATTGCTCTTGGGAAACAGGTGCATCTCGTACTTCCCATGGCACCAAAAAGGGCCTTGATGGGACAAAGCTCATCCTTTGGTTCGCACACCTTCAAGCAAATGCCAGCGTAGGTGTCCTTGTAGGATAAGTTCGGGCCTCTTTTTCTTGGTCCTCGCTATGAGTCCACTGTGAAGAGTCGGCATTCCGCCACAGTGCTGCCCTACGCCACTCGCGCCTGGCGTGGGAAAAAGTGCGAGCAGCATGCGCAGCATTGTAGACATTGCCCGAGAAATGCCTTGTTGCCTCAGTTTGCGCAAAACCACACGGTTAGTCCAAATACCCACCATCAAAATAATGGTGCAACCGGTGAAGGGACACCACTGGAAACTTTTCACATTTTCTACCCTTGTGGTTTGACCATCTTGCGGCTTGGAGCAACCCTGAACCAAGCCTCCTAACATTTCTATGGTAGCTGCTAAGGATTTAAAAAAAGATCATTCAATCAACACCTTGGGCGCTTGTTATGGAGATGGGAGGGGCACGTTGGAGCCTTACCTTCTTCTTGCCAATGTGTTGCCATTGGCTTGTCTGATTATGCGCCTTTTACCTCTGTTCAGGCCTGTTACATGGCAAATGATGCAGCTTCCAGCTTCCAACACTGAGGCACACATTGTTTACATGATCTGTTACGTGTTTCTTTAAGGCCTGCTTTTGTTTGCATGAATACTTACATGAAGATTGACATGGTTTGTTACATGACTATTGGCCGGTTTTAACCTCCACAGAGATAGAGGCTAAGTTTTGGTCTAAGACTCAATGGCCACGGATCAGGTGCACCTATAAAGCCGCTCAGCATGCAGCTCGAATTACTAGGTCGCTCAGTCCCAAGGTGTAAGTATGGGACATGGGTCTCAGAAAACAAAGGCGACATACACCAAACACAAGCTGAATGAGCAACGGTACACGGCGGTTTCAGTTAGCCTTCGCGGGCTTTTGGCCGAATTCAATTTGCAGATCTCTGGGTGCATGTCCACGAGCGTCTCCAGCATGCTCAAAACCAACTAGGCTGGGCAAAATGGCCAAACACTATGATACCTGTCCAGCTGGGTCTGCAATCGCCCAAGAAAGCCGACCAGAATTCCTGGAACTTGTCCAAATCTCTGAGATAGGACCAGCTGGATTATCATGTGTCATGTATGAATCACCAAAAGGTGCATTAAAAAAAATAATATCTGATGCAAACAAACGTGACCTGAATGACGCATCTTCCAACAGAAGCTAAATGCTTGAGGTAAGTTGTACTTGCCGGGAGGGGCGCAAAATCCACAGGTGCTGAAAGCCACAAACTTTCAATACCTCATCTTCCTCGTGTTGTGGCATTCTCCAGTCCATCGGATGTCCCCGGTCCCTAGATTGACAAAGGGGAATTGCATCCCAATATTTTGCATGTGCCGAAGATCTGCAAATAAACATACACCGGCGTAGACCCCAAAGAGCAGGGCAAATGTCAACCAACAAGCACCGGCAGCAACTACCGCGGCACCTTGCGCACACCAAACAGCACCTTGACTAGCACCCACCACAGCACCCGGACTCGCAAAACAGCTTTCTCTCTTTAGAAGTAAGAACCCTCAATTGTTTTTTCAGCTATGTAGGGACAAAATGCGCCCGCACCGTCACCTCAAGCAGCACCCCGAACAGCACCTCCAAATAGCACCAGCACCAGCACCCCAAACCGCAGGTGCGGTTTTGGGGGGTGGTGTTTTGGGGTGCTGTTTGGGGTGAGCGCTGACGGTACAGGCGCACTCTGGCAAGATTGACGGCAGGGTGCTGGGGCATGCACCAGCTCCCCAAACTGCATGCCCACAAGTACCCAGCCGTCAATCTTGCAAAACACTCTCCCCTCATAATAGAAGTTAGAACCCCTATGCCTAGAGCTTTCAGCTATCTGCGGAACAACAATCCAAAAACAAAACAAAACAACAAACAACGCTTGCTAGACGAGGGGCTCAAATAGTAAGAGCCATGGAAGTGGTTGATGAGCTGCCACGCCTGCAAAGGGCTCTTCTCTGCGTCACGTGACCGGAAGGTCCTCAGCGGCCGGCGGGGCTCTAAGTTGAGTCTGCCCCAAATGGCAGTTGGGTGAAATTAGATGGCAGGTTGTGCCATGTAAATTCACTCGAGTGCACCCCTCCACCTTTAGTTGGTTCTCGACACAAAGGAACCACCGCCACAGTCCCGATTTTGACACATTTCACCACACAACATCCCTTCTCCATATTAATAGATGCACCCCGGATCCTGATTTGAACAGCCTTCCAAAACAGCTTCAAGAAAACTGTAAATCGACATGACTTTTACAGCGGTGCACATACTGATTCGAGTTGTGCCAATTCTACATTGCACATCTGAAGCAATGCCCGAAACAATTCGAATCAAGCACATCATGTGGAGCATGCTGATGGGTGTTGGGTGTTGCAACGAGACCGTCCTTAGCAAAGAAATGGAACTCCTTGGTACCGACTCACCTGTCCCCGGGAAGGCGGTCTTCAGCAAGGGGGGCAACGGGTGGCAAGCGGAAGTACCCGGAAAGAGTAAATCGCTACAACTTACTGTGTGCAAGCTTCTTCAGGTCCAAACAGAAAACACAAACGTACATGCTTCAGCGTTCCCCATCTGGAAGCTAACTCCAAAACCAGTTGCAACATTTGACACATCTCTTCCAAGAAGCCACTTCAAGGTGCAGGTCTCCGGCGTAGATTCGCTCCTAAGCGGCCCAAGGCTGGGTGCCAATCGCTTGAGACATGTGCTGTAGCATGTGGTTCAAAAAACCGCAGGCCTTGCGTGACACTGCAAACTCGGGTACGTGCAACAATGTAGAAGCAGTGCCTCTGTCAGGACGCCGCATATACGACAGAGCCCTTAATGCTCACACGTGGTTTCCTCAATTCCCACAAGTGCGCTCATTTCACTCATTTCTCACAAGTCAAATGTGCCGCAATTTCCGCGTTGTTTCAACATTGCCAAAGAACACTGGTCAAAACCCAGCTTGGACTCGTGAGAAATGAGTGAGTTTAGGGTTGAGGAATTTTAATGCTTTTTTGGATTTAGGTTCAGGGTTGTTCGGGTTTACATTCAAGCTTTTTAGGTTTCGAGTTTGTCGGGTTTGGGGTTTTGGGGGGGGGGGGGGGGTTTAGGGCTTTGGTGGCGGGTGTTAGGTGTAGGTTTAAGGCTTTTAGGGTTTAGGTTTGGGGTTTGGGGTTTTAGGGTGCAGCTTTCGCGCTTTTAGGGTTTAGGGATTTTCGGGTTGAGGTTTCGGGTGTCGGGTTTAGGGTTTCGGTTTATCTAGGGTTTAGGGTTTCGGGTTTTGAGGTTTAGGGTTTCCACGGTTTAGCTTTTTAGGGTTTCGGGATTTTAGGGTCTAAGTTTAGGGTTTATGAATTTTAAGGCTTAGAGGTTTTAAGGGTTTTCAGGGTTTAGGTTTCGGGTTTAGGGTTTAGGGTTCTTGTTCTTCTGGGCTAACTAGGGTTTAGGGTTAGGGTATTTTGGTTTTAGGAGTTTGGGTTTCTTATGTTTAGGTTTTGGACTTTTGCGTTGAAGCGTCGGGTGTTCTACTGTTTGGCATTTCCACTGTTTATGTTCTTTAGGGGCTCGGCTTAAGGGTTTTTAGGGTGGTTTAGGGTTTTTAGGGGTTTGGTTTAGGGTTTTTAGGGTTTAGGTTTCTGGTTTTGAGGGCATGGAGTTTTTTAGGGCGGTTTTAAAGTCTGAGGTTTTCGGAGTTTAGAGGTTGTAAGGGTTTTGAGGGTATAGGTTTCGGGTTTCTGGGCTTAGGCTTCGGTTTTTTGGTTTAGAGTTTTTAGGGTTTACGTTTGGGGCTAGACCTTTCAGGGCTTGGGTTTCGCTTTTTTGCGCAAAGTTCAAGTTTAGGGGTTTTAGCGCTTAGGTTTTGGGGCTTTAGGGTTTCGAGTTTTTGTGGTGTAGGGATTCTAGGTTTAGGGTTTAGAGTTGCGGCACACGTGAAACATCTTCCAGAGGCAACCAACGAAATCACATCCGAACACAGCATGCGTCTATGGATGTATGAACAGACCTGCGCATGTTGAAGTATAGACGGATGGGTGGCTGATGATGGGATGGATGGACGGCCCAAAATACTGCAGAAACCACGAAAAATAATTCGTGAGACACGAGTAGATTTCACTCGTGATAAATGAGGGGATTCGACTTGTGTGATTCAAGTGCGCTTGCTTAGCCATAAATTATTGATCAGACACGCTGTGGATTTACAATAGCTCGCCCGTTGCATACCAACAGTGCGCGGACACCCGCGCCCGCACACACAAACACCCCCACACACACACACAGACACACACACACACAGACACACACAGACACACAGACACACAGACACAGAGACACAGAGACACAGAGACACAGAGACACAGAGACACAGAGACACAGAGACACAGAGACACAGAGACACAGAGACACAGAGACACAGAGACACAGAGACACAGAGACACACAGACACACAGACACACAGGCACAAACACACAAACACAAACACAAACACAAACCCCAACCCCAACCCAAACCCAAACCCAAACCCAAACCCAAACCCAAACACAAACACTCACAAAAAAACAAAAACAAAAACACACAAAAAAACAAAACCACGCGCGCGCGCGCCCGCCCGCCCGCACGCACGCGCGCGCTCGCGCGCACGCGCACGCGAATGAGCACGTGCACGCGCACACATACACACACACACCTCAAACAATACGTTCGACACAGCATACTCCATCTGTCCTGTGTGGTGACGTACGGGCGTGATCCTGTCCGATCAGTTTAAATGTTCGTTTGACTGCCATGCTAATTGTGCTTGACAGCATGTTTGGGTGACTGAACAAACACTTCTGAAGCTGCGCATTCTGCCTTCAAGGGCTTGAAGCCATGATTTCGATTCAGTAGGGGCATGTTAAATGTAAGGGATGCAATGATTGAATGACGTCATCAACATTCGACAAAGCCAATCTTTCCAGTACCGGCTGTACGTGTTGTATTCGCGCCCTGCTAAGGGCCTGCTGAAAGCAATCTCTTGCTTAGCCAACATCAAGCAAGTTGCAGCCAAGACACTCCACCCAGCCCCAGGAAATGAGCACGCGCCGGACAAGGTCGCATGATTGTCCTGCAGCTTGCACTGAAAGCTGTCATTTGAGCTGTCAGTGTTGAAGTGGCACAATGTGGGAGCAATCACTGCTGTACCTCTCAACCAAGAAGCTCAAGAAGTTACCGTGGTGTCGAACAGAACAGTGGAGAAGGCCCAAATGTGGTGGTACAATGGTACAACCAAGGGGTGCGTGACACTAAGCCAACCAAGGTGCTAACGCATAGACCCAAAGGACATGGTGGACACTTGCCAAAGGCAAACAGGTCAAAGTTGAGACAGGAGTAGTATCAAAATACCACTCCCAGTATGTTTGAAGAAGCTGTGGCACTGCTGATAGATATCACAAGCTGTCTGGGGCTCATCACCGTGCAGCAGAACCGTATTTCCCTAAACTGAAAGTGCAATGGCATTGCTTTTTTTGATTAGCTAGAATCAAACATGGAACTGGCTGAAAACTCTGTGAAATCACGTGGACGAACCATAGTTCTGCTGGCGCACCCCGCATCAAGCAGAAACGGTCAGACCTGTTCAAGCCATGCCGTCACAAGGAGGCAAAATCAAAGTTCATGTCAGGGTCGGGGCTGTTTGATAGAGTCTCGACTTCCATTCGCTCCATATCTTCATTTGATGCGATCCAACCTCCGAGGGTCCTTCACAAATGAAGGACTTCGGGTTCCGCGCGGCTTCTGGAGTCTTCTTAGAAACCTGGCAGCTCCGAGTGTTTCAACATCCCACCTATCGCAGTCCAAATCAACACACGGTAAGTGTGATGTCATGCTTTCTTGGGGCAAGCCTAAAACCAAAGCTCACCCATGTCGAGGGCAAGACAACCAACATGACGAACGTTGAAGATATGTAAGTCTCTTGGGTCCTTCCGCTAGCCAGCTAAGTTGATCAGCAGTCAGATTGATTCGTGCGGTGTCCACTTGCCAGCTTGCCCGCAAATTGTTGGGTGCTTTTCTTGCGCACTTTGTCCCGGTTTACGCCATGAGTTTGTTTAAACAATATTCAATATTCAAGTGTTCAGCTCGGCGGAAAGTCTGCAGCGTGAACCAACATGATCAGCTAGGCTGCATACAAGGGAGCAACTGCAACAAATGTTCATTCATTATTTGTTTGTCCCAAAGTGCTGCATTATTCATCCAGAGCCCTTTGCTGGTTGTCGTCAAGTGTAACGATATCCACACCATGCTAATGTTGGCAACAGGAATAATTCCTCTCCGATTCAAGACTGCCATGTTTCCCAGCTCACTGCAGGCAAACTTCCCAAAAGGCACCGCAAGGGTCTGGCCCAAAACAACTCCTCCTGATCTGGTCGGTCTAGAATTGTCCCGGTTCAAGCCCCCCCTTTCCCCCCACACAAAAATTACACCAGCATAGACCCCAAATAGCAAACAAATAGGCGGATGATTGCACACCAGCAAACAGCACCCACTGAATAGCACACGGTTGCTAATGTCGCAAAACATGCGCCGCACTAGCATCCCAAAACAGAACCTACACCAGCACCCCAAATTGCATGACCCCTAGCACCCTGCCGTCAATCTTGTTAGCACCTCAAACAACACCCCAAACGAGGAGGGGCTGTAACCACGACTCGCAATGAAATCCGAAACCGCGCCAAAACTTTGGCACAACCCCGACAAACAAAAACTAAGATCGACAGCGCAGTGTTTTTGGCCCAAACGTATTGGATCTGGACATGTTGAATTAGACGGGCTTTTGACTAGAAAACGACGGTTTCGGCACTGGATCTACTTTCTGTATCAAACGGCCGTTTGACCAGGAAAAGACGATTTAGGCGCTGGATCTTTGCATTTTGAATCAAACGATTTGGGCTGGAGCTTTGCAGTTTGAATCAAACGGGCGCATTTTGAGTCAACCGGCCGTTTGACTAGGCAAACACAATATTTGGGCGCTGGATATTTGGATTTTCAATCAAACGGCCGTTTGACCACGAAAAGGCGAGTTGGGCGCTGGATCTTTGGATTTGCGATCAAACCGTTTGACAAGGAAAAGGCGATTTGGGCCCTGGATCTTTGCATTTTGAGCAGAGAGACACCTATGTGGATCTTTTCATTTTGAATCAAATGAGTCAAACGGCCGTTTGAACAGGAAAGGCGATTTGGAAAAACCTCAATAGACAGACCTGTGGTTGAAAAACTCAATATGGGAGAAAAACCTCAATAGACAGATCTGTGAGAGAAAAACTTGAATAGACGCGCTGTCGGGATGAACAAATTAAAAAATGTCAGTGTTTATATGTTGTCTGGTTGCTGTTCCATAGTATCTGTCATTGTTACCACTCCTGCGGACCCCAAACTACCAGCACCCCAAAACAGGACCAGCACCAGCACCAGCACCCAATTTGCATGCGTGGGCACCCTGCCGTCAATCTTGCAAAAATGCGCTCGCACCGTCACCAGCACCACAAACAGCTCAAATAGCATTCCAGCATCTGCACCAGCACCCCAAGTGCACGCGCCCTAGCACCCAGTCGTCTATCTCGCAAATCACGTTCTCTTCTTTATCAGAAGTTAGAACCCCTATAGCTTTCATCTATCTGGGGAAAAAGTTGATGTTGAAGTGCCAAAGGTAGTTCCAATACTATTTCCTTTCGTACTCTGAGGCGTTGCTATCTCTTGAGTTTTAAAACCCTGCAAAACAAAAACACATGTATTCCTACTGTTTGTCAAGCAAAAACAACTTTCACACACTTACAAAGGGTATTCACCCTTCACGGCAATAATCCACAGCAATACAACCCTCCCGGAGCAGGGTACATTGCACTGGAACATGTTTGCATTGTTTGTCCTACTGGGCAAACAAGGGCCAAAAAGTGAAGGCCCGGAGGTCTAAATTCTCGGAGTTGGCCATAAAGACCGTCACCAGAATGAACAGTGCCAACGGGAAGGGAAAAACTGCGGGTTCAGGGGCCGTTCATCGGGCCAAACCGTGAATGTGGGCCAGCACAGCTCCTTTTGGGCTCGCCAGCATTGCCCCGAAAAGCTTCGACTGGGGGTTTGCTCCATCGACCTTTGTACTACTCATGCATAGCTTGATCCTGCAAACCATAAGTTCGTTGCTCGGCTTCCTGGACATCAGCACTGTAGCATTCTATCATCATTGCCTGCTGTCCTAATATGTTAGGTGGCATTCGGCGTCCCACCAGTCGATAGTTGCATCACTCCATGGGGATTTGCACCCCTAATTTTGGCATGACTGAATCCTTCCATTGCATCATGCTTGAACATGTTCGAGTCCGAGGCTTTCTACTCCCCTTCCAAACGTGTCACGCAACAACTCAGCGCAAATTGCAGCCTCTGAACCAAACCGCATGGTATTATTGAGCCCCTCAAGCATCCCATTGTCATCACTGCAACGATCGGCACTCCCGCGCCTTTGGCTTCGACCCGTTGCGCCGCTGGCTATTCTTGCGAATCTCGGCTGGCCTGTCGTCCATGCATCCCATGGCTTCTTGAGGGGAAAACAGAACGAAGAATATGGCTTGGGTAGCATCCAGTTTGAGCTTTGGGGACTTTCGCGAAGGGCGGAACTCAGATGAACCCAGGCGCCCGCGCAGAGTTGCGATTTCAGGTCCACTTGCCAAGTATTGGTGCTCACCAAAGATGTCAACAGTCACAAAGGAAAGGCGCCGGGCATGCAAGACAGTGTGTCTTGGTTACTTGCTGCCTACTCAAGTGGCATTGAGTATTAAGTTCGGACAAAAGTTGTTGTTCACAGTAAGTACGATCGAATTTAGACAGTCCCCTATCGTTTTCCAGCGTTTGGTCTATGACACAAAGGTATCGTTTTTTTGAGAGTCCCCTATAGTTTTCCATGGTTTTAAGCACCTCGAGCTATATGGACGTCCAAGTGTAGACTACTTTCCTTTTCCGTAAATTCTGACCCACACAACTGATACATTATGCCAGAGACAGTCTAAAGACGTCTGATTGAGCGACGACCCTCTCGGACCCTCAGAGCCCAATGTATTACCACTTGCAACCATCTTTCGGCGCATGACCTGCCCCGTCGTCTCCGGCTTGCATGTGTCAAACAGTTAAGGACATCACCGGTATGGATAAAAAATAAAACACCAGGGGACCGCGGGTTTCAGTCCTTGTTGCCATTTACCGGGGCTCCATTTTGGGTGCCTATTCTTCACCTACACCCATCTTTGGATAGTTTCGACAAGGAAACCAGTGGCGAGCAACCCCCTGAGCGGTGCCCATCCCAATGACACGCTTGTCCAGACTGAGTGTGCCGCCTTGAAAGCACATCCCAAAACGGGTGTTTCTCATAAGGGGCACCCCAAGCTGGTGGTTTCCCGAAGGTTTCCCTTGCAAGCCATCCCAAGGGGGTCCACCATTTTTAGAACCCTCACCTCCTCCCCCTCCGCGCAAGGGGTCACCACTTGGCCAAGGCTCTGCTCGGCATCCAAAACGGCCATAGGCAGAACAAGAGGCACGAACTTCCGGCAACAGAAAAGCTGGGGCTATTTGAATGGCAAAACCACCGAAACGTGAACAGCAGGATTCGTCCGTGAGCACCTGCAACTGCAACTCCCTTGTGGCTCACGGGTTGAACGGCATGTGAAGCTCATGCATTTGCAGGTGACGTCATGACGTCGGGGGCTGGGGTATCCGTTGACGGCAAAACAGGTTCTGCATAGCGGATGCGGCGCATTGCCTGCGCTCATGTGAAACGTCTGGCACCTTTGGGCCTGAACGGCAAAGCCCAGGTCAGCCGCTCAGCCGCTCAGCCGCTCAGCTCTGACTGATTGCATTCGCCCGTCCCAACGGCCTAAACCGGACTTCATCACCTAAACACAAACACAACCCCCATGGCAGTGGGTGAAGAGTACGTCACCAAAGCCCTTATGTGAGACTCAACAAAGTCCATGTGCCATTCATCAGCATCCATCAGCACACCTTTTCTCCATCAAAGCTTCGGTGACTCACCTGGCATCTCAATTTGCCCTTGACAACTTGAACTAGCTCGGTCAAAATTGGGGCTACCACGTTGCTTTTAAGTGGAGAACGGGTTGTTTACAATCCTTCAACAAAGGGCGGATCTATGATTCGAAGGGAGGTCCCCCGCGGCTCTGTTTCACAGCCCCTCAAAATACCTGGACAACATGCATGAGTTCAATCAACAACCAAACTAGCAAACGGCTATGCAAATAACACGCAGCATCCAACAAAAAGCACAGGGTGTAAGTGCCACTAAGGAACTAGGGTCACGGACGATGGAGCTTGGATGAGTTGGCTCAAGCGCCCAGGCATCACATATTGAAGCTGTACGTGAAGATATCAGGCTCTTCAAACCGACCAGCGTGTTTTAATCAAGGTAGCGTCAAAGGTAGCGAAAGCGTGGCACCAGTCAAGGGGCTGGTAGCATCCCCCGCTTCTTCAAGTGTTGCTTCGTGGTTCCCAGCGACATGCTTGCAAAGACGTGGTGCTTCTCACAGGTCTGGAATGACAACTCTCAGCTGCCATGCCTCATTAGAATCACTTGATCATGTGAGTCATCTAGGCTTTCCACACGGTATTGGCAGGAATGAAGCCGGTGAAAGCGAACACTGTGGCGCATCTAGCTCTCCCCCAAGTCTTTGTGCGCCCACACCCGGCCAGCAGTGTGAAAGCACAAATTCCTGGGTAGCACCACGCGAATCGCATAGAGCAATTGATGGACTCGCAGCGACTCCCACGTCACCCGCAAATTGACAGCAGCTGTGTGGACAAGGCCAAGACCAGCAGTGCGTCAACGCCTGCTGCGACTGTGACCCGGCCAGCGATGCAGTGGTTGTTGGCCATGTCCTGACATACTCCGATAAGCTCGTCATTGAACCCAAGAGCCGTGCACTGCCTTAGCTGCATGAGTGCAACTGCAAGCCCTGCGACTTGGATCCCAAACTGCCCACTCAAGTACTCGAACTTCCCCAGAACGAGCAAGCAAACATGCACAGCTCTTTGCGGCATTTTCCTCATGCCAAAGCCACTGAATGTGGAGGAGGGGTTGTAACCACGACTGGCAATGAAATCTAAAACCGCGCCAAAACTTTAGCACAACCCCGACAAAAAAAAACAAGCTCGACAAAGCACGTTTTTGGCCCAATCGCATTGGATCTGCACATTCTGAGTTAGACGGCCTTCTTGACTAGGAAACGACGGTCTCGGTACTAATCAGCGATTTGGGCGCTGGATCTGTGGATTTTGGGGTCAAACGACAAACGACCGTTTGACTACGAAAACGACGATTCGGGCGCTGGATCTTAGACTTTGAGTCAAACGACCGTTTTGACTAGGAAAACGCGACTTTTTGAGTCAAACCACACGACGCGATGCCCACGCTGGATCTGTGGATTTTGAGTCAAACGGCCGTTTGACTCGGAAAACGCGATTTGGGCGCTGGGAAAAACCTGAATAGATATATAGATCTGTCATGGAAAACCTGAAAAGACGTGCTGTCGGGATGGACAATTAAAACATGTGAGTGTTTATATATTGTCTGGTCGTTGTTCCACAGTATCTGTCATTGTTACGACTCCTCCTGATGCCGAGGCACGTGTAGGAGTCCAATTTCAAGCGCATGATCAAGGTGCCTGTCGTATTCTTGTATTCGACGAGCCCCTCCTTCACAGTTGCGGCCATGCCGCACTTACTCATCATGGTGCCGTTTGGCGCCTCAAATGCCTCGCCGCCTGTCGCCGACCATACAGTCCAGGTTGTCTGGCTTCCTGAGAAGAAGTTTCCAAGCTGCTTCAGGTGCACCAAACACACCACGCCCTCAGCAGTCATGAACTCGACGTTATTCTTTGTGGCACGCACCCTCAACAGCAATTGACCCCCAGACCTCAGCTCTGAGAGCAGGTTGGCCCGGTCTGTGACACTGGCCACCACCTCTGAGACTCCGCTCAGTCCGCTCCACGTCAGCCCCTGCTCGTTGGCAAACCGTGCCGTGCGGAGCTGCTGAAGCTGACCGCCATGGACCGAACTGGAGGCCCCCATGGCGACAGCCAATTTCTTCAGAAAATGCTGGAGCCTTTGGTCAAGTTTCCGACCTTACTGCCAGCCAATCCCTGGAATCAGTCAGGGGTAGTGGAAGATCGGATCCCTGGCTGGTTTGACACAGCATGCCCAAAGCGGCATTGATACGATATGCCAGCGAAGAAAGCCAACACTGCTGAATCCACTAGTTTGTGGCAGGTCTTTGGGCCGCCTTCCCGCGTGTGTTCCAGGAGTTTGGAGCTGCAGCCGTGGTTCTCACTGAGGGGAAATTGATTCAGCACTTGTCGGGCCAATAAAAGCAACCAGGATCCTTCCGCTCATGGCAAAATGACTCAGTGGGGAACGTCAAAAGAACCAGAAGCCAACAAGCAAGGACACCAAGCAGTGTTTCGCGGCTTCCACCCTTTTGAGTCCAACCTTGAGAAATCAGCCCGTCTTGACGCATGACACCTTGCCAGTGGGCAGTTCAATCCGAATCCCCAAGCAACTTTGAAGTAGAGGAAACGACACAAGGCGCCACTGAATCGTTTGGCCATGCTTGGCCGGTTGGAGGGGAAGCCCAGGACATACTTCCCTGAAGAACCTGGAACCTCTCACAAATTGAGCACCACGCCCAAAGCAAGTCAAACAGTCGGCGCTCACTTCCCAGATGCACTGAATGAGAGTGGTGGCTTCATAGCTCACTTCACAAGATGACGGGGTGATGATGCGTCTTTGAATGGGCTGGTCTGACGGAATCTAAATGACTCCTGGGCGGAGGCACTAGCCTGCTTGGCCTTCAGAACAGACACATTGCGTTCATCCCAAACTACCAAGGCTCGGCATGAACATATTTTCGGAACTGTACTCGTGTGCATTGAGTTCAATCTATGGACGAATCATCTCTAAACACTCCAAACACGGGCAAAAGATGAGACAGCAAGTGCAGTGTGTGCGCTAAAAGTCATTCCGTTGAAGGTTCAGGTATCTCCATTTAATCCATGTAACAACATATGATACCAGTCTGGATTCTGCCTAAGCAATCGGACAAGCAACATCTCCATATGCCAGACCAACATCTACACCTGTACCTTTGGCCAGATTTGGCGATTCTTCAGCGGGTCATCCCCAGGTGGTTTGGCGATTCTTCAGCTCGATGGCCCCAGAGGAGCGGCGCCGCACTTTTGGCCCATTGCCCAGGCCGCGGCACCATTGGCCATGCATTGCGGGCATGGCCTTGGAGAGTTGCTGGTGTTCTGGACGCACATCCGGTGCGAGAAGGGAATGTCGAGCCCATTAAAAAGATGTCCTACATTCAATATGGGAGCCGGCAAGCAGGCCAGAGGCGAAACATGACACCGAGAATAGCCTGGTACGTCAGGTGCAAGGGCGGTGGCTGACCGCCATGTCAAAGACTGGAAGTGAGTACCATAACTGAACAATCCTCAAAACAGAGACCTCGCCAGCGCTTGGTTTCCTGCTGGTCTACGAGGAATGCTGGCTAAACAATATCACCGTGTTGCTCAAACTACAAACGTCTTGTTGCGCAAGGGACCCGTTGACAGGTTCGAGGAGTCAACAAGTCTCAGCAGTCCCGTTGGTAGTTGTTGCCAGATCCAGCATGGAGTGGTGAATGTGCTTTTCTTCCGTGTAGCTTCTCTGGTGGCCATTGAACTGCCAGAAAAGCCCTGGCCCTCATTTAACATCACCTGCCTTTGCCAAGGAGCTAAGACCGGCGGAAACGGTCTGAGTCACCAGGTCGGACTCGCGATCGCTGTTCGAATCTTCTTGAAGCAGGCGCCTGTGTGCTGACGTGCTGACTGCAAGCCACCATGGAGGAGTCAATGCGCAGGGCTAGGTCAAGTGATAAGAACACAATCCAGTACAAGCAGTTTGTGTCCTTTTGGGATCCCTAGGTCAACAAACCCCGATGTATGAGGCGAAGAAACGTGTGCCAGCTGAGTGCTTTCCAGCTTGACTGTTGCGACATCATGGCAACTTGAATGCAACTGTTTCACTCTTCGATGCAACCAGGAGTCCATAATTCAGGAAACCTTCTGGCTCGCTCCTCAGTGTGCGGAGTTGTGCGAGATACACGCAACGTTAACGTGGTGCCAAAGACATGCGAAGGCTTACCGAATTCAAATATAGTCGCCTCGTTCGCGGTGCCACAGCCAAGCTCAACTGCATTTTGCGGAAATGTGCGGGAATGTTATATTGGACGCGGGCTTCCCGCTGGTGTCTTCACAAGTATCGCAAGAACCATCCACCAGCCTGACATTAACATTCCCAAGACTAGCTGCCTCGGGGGCAAGATTGCTTCAGCCGCCAAATCTTGTTGCAGATTCATTCGCAACGAGCATGAGCTGTGTGGCTTCAACAGGATTCCTGACAAAACCCGCACCCTCAACGCAACCTCAAAAGAGAATGTGTCGCTTAGGCGGCTCGAATAACAAGCCTTCGATCTTGCTCAAGCAAACTTCTGGAAAGCTGGTCCTGTCCTTTTAGGCCCAGGCGCTTCCTCGTGAGTATGCGAAGCACACCACTGGCGGAAGAGCGTTTCCTGGCAATTGGATCAAACCGCTCCCACTCATCCTAAGGGGACGATGCAAGTGCACTGGGGCACCCAAATCTGAGACATCACGTAAACAAGTACATCTCTGGAAAGGACGGTCAGGTGTGGTGTGGTGGGGGTTCTTCAACCGACGATGGGACCTTCTTGTCACAGTTCTGTCAAAGCGGAACAACAAACACGATTCTCAAAATTGACCCAACCAACTGCGAGAAGACTTGAACATGCGTTGCTCGCTTTGCAGAAACTCAAGTTGAAATAGTTTGAAGAGGCATGAGTAGTCCTTGCTTAGAACGGCTGGCGTTGTGCATTCTGACTCCCTGGACCCGTATAGGCAAATAGGGGCGGGGAACAGCCCAGCCTTATTGTACTTTGCGCTTCCAAACAGCATACTGATTCAAAGAGTTTAAGGTTGGAGTCCAGCCACCACTCTTTGGACAAGAAACCTAGCGCATGACGGCAGCCCGTGGAAAAACGTCTCCAACCCCGGAATGCATTGAAAAGCCCAAGCTCACTGAGCTACGCGTACATTCTGGTCCCGTGCCTCCTCGCTGGAGCTGCCAGAGCAAAAGAGCTTGTGAAAAGGTTCCTTCGGCCAGCTGGATGCACAGCCCTCATGGGCGCAACACAAAGAATTTGTGGCCACCCCAAGGCCAGAACCTACGGTCGCCAAAACGTCCGACCTTTAGGGGGGGTTTAGGGGGGAGGGTAGGGGTCTCGCAATTTCATTTATCCAGACTTTCCACATGGAATGGAATGTGCTGAAAGAGCCAGAGTGGTTTTTTTAATCCTCTGAGGAAACGCCCCGGGATAAGTCCCAAGTTGTGTATTCGCTCCCCCTAGTATTAAATCCACCACTACTAATACATACTATTCTCCCAGCAAAATCCCAAGAACAACTCCCCCCTTTTACTTTTAGTTGACCCAATACTACACCAATATTAAACTTCTGACAGCCACTCCTTGGGGGTACTTTCAGCACTTCCCTTCTTTTGATTGTAAAACCAAATTGTAATTTGCAATTTGATTTTCATCTTTAAAACCTGAATTAACAAGTCCAAACAAGTGTTTGCAAGCAAGTCCATTTAAAATGTTCCTTGCTCGCCAAAAACGATTTTGCAGTTTTTTCCGCCTGCAAGGGGAGGGGTGGCATTTCGACCAGGCCCGCTGTGGAAGCCCCTGAATCCCCTCTTCATATATATATATATATAATATTTTTCCCCCAACAATACAATTCATAGGGAAAGAGAAAAGGGTTCCGGGAATCAATAGGGGAGACCCATCCGTCCGGATTTCTCCTCCTGGACCACCAGCTCGGTGCACTGCACGAGCCGCAAGGCGGGGAGGCCTGAAGAGAGATCTCTGTTTCGGGTCGCCTCAGGACCTTGGTCAAAGAGGGGACACTTGCTTGGTTTATGTCAAAGACAACTGAGGGTTAAACATGTTTGGGGTTCTGACACAACATGACTTCAAAGATCGGGCCTTGACACCAAGAAGTTGTCATATTCATGCAGTTGCCAAGCTGGTATCCAAGCAGGGGCACTAAGAATAGCTAACAACAATTAAATGCCCCTAATCCGTTTGTGGCACCCACCAAACCTCGGTCAAAGATATCCTTGTCTGCCCAATAATGGAACAACATGTTTGAATTGCGCTATTTCTTGCCAATACACTCGCCAATGTTGCTTCCTTTCACAGTTCCAAGGATTGCCCTTCGAGATCTCCATATCATCAGCTATAGCCAGAAACAGCAAACTGTTTACTACGGTTTGTTAAGACAACATAGTTTGACAAGCACACAAGGACGACCCTGCTTCAGAAGCTTAACCAGAATTTTCGCAGCACTGGAATTACTTGAGTTGGCTCCCCCTCCGAATGCATCCAATCTGCGCGTAATCTCGAAGAATGGAAGCACTGCGCGTAAAATAGCTGAAAAACAACTGGAACATTGGAGGCGGTGCGGAGCTTTGCGGTCACTTTGCTCGCGCAACTCTCTGCGGAGTTTTCGCGGGGTTGACCTTGCAACGACTCGTGGTTTTCTGCTTCTTTCGGCTTGCATAACTATAAGCAGGTGAACACTTTGCAGACTTTCGGCGGAATTTCCTGGGACTTTTGAGGCGGGGCCAACTTCAAACATATAGCAGAACAATAGAAACCACGATGGACAAACATAAAGAAAGAACGAAAGAAAGAAAGATACTGTACATAGAAAAAGATAGATACCTTAACTTAGGAATAGATTGGGAAAAACAGATAGCTCGAAATAGGATGCATAGAAAGATGGAAAGAACAACATTTAGCACAACACATAAAGATGTTAGACGGATGGATAAAAAGACTGCAGCACAGATGGAGAAGGGACGAGACGAGGTGTTCAAAAGGAAAGAAACAAAGGAAGAGAAAAAAACAAAGGCAGAAAGACAGAATGACACTGAAACAAGGGGGAAAGAAGCACGCTTCAAACTAGAGTCTTTCTATCTTGGAAG